GGAGTGGTGCGGTCTGATGGATGACAACCGAGACTCCAGTGATCACTCCAGCATCATTTCTCACTCTGGAGAGAAGTTAACGTTAGCTAGCAGGCGGGCCAAAATCACTCTTAATCAATTATGCATGCGAAGCCAATACATAACATTCACCCACCGAAGGCACATTAGCAAAGAAGAAGAAAAAAAAAAACATCCTTTGGCTGCTTCATTTAATCATTGAAAAATATGAGGTTATCAAAACCTCATCAAGAACACTTCAATATTTTATCTGGACCTACTACAGGAACAGCAAGCCTTAAAAATGGAACAAGAGAGGTCATTTCTTTTCTTCTTAGACCTGAAAGGATTCCTCAAAGTCCATCACTGCTGATCTAAAACGCTTCAACGAGGACTTCTGTGAAATATCTCTGTCTGCTTCCGATGACTGATGCTGTGCGCCAGGAAACAAGAAACCAGAAACAGAGTCATAAGTTACGGCGCTCAAAATGATCTCTGATTAGCCGCAATGCATCAGGAGGACACTGACTGAGCGTCTGCGCCCAAGTCTTATTTTAATTTACACCTTAATTACGGAGATCCAGACACAACTGGGCCACCAAAAATAATCACCATCAAATATAATCAACTGTGACTTCCATTTGGCAGAGGAGTGAGATTTTCGGAAAACGTGAATGGACGCAGCAGCCCGGTCAGTGAAAAACAAAACAAAAAGTAACGGCAGCCAAAAAGCCGCGTCAACTTTTTGTTCCTGGACAAGTCGTTTAATTGAATTTCACACTGAGTGCCCGGCTCGAATCTCAGCAACAAATGAAATTAATCAGCCTTCACGTCATCTCTGATGTTCAAGGATATATCGTAAGGATTATGCATTCTGGATTACGCAGCTCTTCCCAGATCTTCTCTCCTGCCAATGTTAGGGAAACTGTGATGAAATGACTTTACAGAGCCAAAACGCTTCACCAGTAAACAGAGCAGTCACGCCCGCTCGAAAGGAGGAATTTAACCCCTCGAATTTCGTACATCTGTTGTTTTCAGAAATCAAACCTTATTTAGGTTCCAGTGCTGATTTGTGGAAGAACACAGCACCCTTTCTGAGTAGTTACCGTACTCGTTTGCTTCCATATATAAGCTACAGAAGATGAGGTCTCCCAGTAGCCCCACCCCCTACTGTGTATAGCAACATGGTTCTTTCTATGTTAAACAATATAGAAGCAAAACTAGCTTTAGGACAGTCTGGCCACTTCCTGTTTCTCCCATTAAATACACAAAAAGCCCTTTTCATTTTCGACTGTATTTGATTCATGTTATTTAAAGGGACTCTATCATTCTGCTTTTTAAAATAAGAGATTCATGTAGTATGTAAATAAAGTTTCACTGTATGCGTCCATACATGAAAACTAAGATGCAAAACAAGCCTGTTTTGAATACACTGCTACAATGTTATCTTAACAAGTGAAATCATCTTTCATTTCCTACTTTGACATAATTGTATGAATATTAAAACATTAGAAAACTTATTTCTAGATGTTTTTTACTTGTTTAAAGTAATTCAAGTAAATTTAAGTAAAATTAACTCACTATATTAGCAGATAATTTTGCTGGCTTCAAGCAATTTCACTTAATAAAATCACTTAAAACAAGCAAAAATATCTAGAATTAAGTTAAATAATCTTAAACTAAACTTACAACAATATTTACAACAAGATATTTAGACTAGATTTAATATCATTTTATTTACCAATAAACCATTTTTTGCAGTGTATGTCCCCAAATCACATGATTTACATACATTTACCTATTCACCCTACAGTAGTTTAGCTCCGCCCACTCATGCTGAAGTTATAAGGAGTGTTTCAGCCTGGACTAATTTTTGAATAAGGCCCCTTACAGGGTAGCCAATCAGAACAGAGCTCAAAAATATAAAAGCATCAGATTTTTTTAAGTCTTATCTCTTCCATGGTAGATTTGATCTATTGATCAGAGGCTTCGGTCAGTCATGCCAGGTTGGGGGCACACTGACCTTAAAGCTATAAAGGGGGATAAACACTAAGAAGTTCTGAATTTCATATTAATATTTCAAAGCTTCTTTTTTTCACTCAATTTTTTATGACAATATTAGGATTTGTAAGAAAAAACATCATATCGAATTTGAAAATAATGCAAAATATAATACAGACTAAGAAATAATAGTCCTGAAGGCAGAGTAACAAAATCAAATAAATAAATAAATAAATAAATAGGCCAAAAAAATCAGACAATTGGGCTGTAAAGAACGACTCAGAATTGACCATAAACATTCATGATCTGTACACCATAAATTTTAAGTGCTGTCTTCTTCACCAGATCTTCCAGAAAAAGTGATAAACTTGTGATAAAAAGTGATTAACTGCAATCTATATTACTCCAGATGTTTTATTATTGTGTTTTATCTGAGCTAATCAGATGGCACATGTTATGGACATAAAGTCGTGAAACTGTGTCCTCTCAGGACAACTGGGAGCATGATGCACCTGCCAGTAAGAGACCAAAAATGCAAACACGGCCAGTAATGAACGGGAGCTACTAGAGCTGGTGAGCGTGGCCTCATTTGCATAATGCAAATGTGTACTTCATTTCATCGTTAACTACATTTGCATAACCTCATTAGAGTAAAGAGGGGAATGCACTGCCGTGGAGGAGCAGCACTGCTGCGGGTGTCTTCAGGTATGAAGGGAGCAGGACGGAGGCTGAAAGAGGGATTCTGCAGGTTTATACTGCCCTCTAGCGGACATCAAGTCAATTCCTGAAGCGCCGCTCATATGAATGCTGAAGCAGTCAGCAGGATTTAAGCACACAGGCACTGAGGTGTGTCAGAACGTCTGGCTGCTTATATCCTTCAGTCACATTTCATATTCTCAGGCAATAAACAACAGAGAAATAAACCGGGGTTCCTTTCGGGATACTTGAACAGCAGGTAACATATTGCAGTTCATTCCTGACCATAAAGCTAAACGTATAAAGGCAGCTCAAAGCATGGGCTATGATATGATTTTATCATTATTTACTGATTTATGGATTGTAAAATTTCTCTACTGAGTTCAATCATCCATCACTTTAATCATAAAACTCTCATTTCTCCAGTTAATCAGTTTGCCCAATCCAAGTCTGTCTGTAACAGAATTCTGCATTAATGTCAGTATGACTGAACACTGAAGAGGGCCAGTTAGCATTAGCACAGAGTTGCCTCTTTTACATATATCCACCTATTTAGCCTACAGCAGTCGAACTCTGCTTATTTGGGTTGAAGTCAAATGTTTGATCTCTGAGTGCTTTCTGAATGAGCGGAGCCAATCAGAACAGAGCTCATTTACATATATCAGTCTTAATGTCACAATAACAAAAACAGCCTGTTTAATTTTAAGAGATAAGGAGAGGCTGAAAAATGGTCAAGTAAAACGAATTATGACAAATGTTATACTCAGTCTCTCAGATTGAAAGTGACCATCTGAAGCTTGGTCACTTTCAACCTGAGAGAGTGACTATGATTAAAACTCACTGCACTTTAAAAATGTATCTTAACCCCTTAAAATCTTAGGCTTATTACACACTAAGCCTTATTATTTAGTAACAACAGGGCCAATGCAAAGTGGCTGAGCTATTCTTATGTTATAGAAGTTTGGGTGCCACTTTAAAATAAGATAAAGTGTTCATGAAATGCTGAAAATTTAACAGTTTAGTAGTAGTTATTAATTAGGTCATAAAGACCTTAAAATCATTAATAAGTAGTTATAACATATAAATAAAAAGGGCAACAGTGACCTGTTTGCCTAATAGTGAACCCCATTTTATTTATACTGTTAAACCTCACATTTTGATGTTTACTGATCTTATTTTGGCTTCTCTATCAGTCAGCATTAAACCTGTCAACTTCATCACTTATTTGTCAGATATAACAGCTCACTTTTGCCCTTTTACTAATGTGTTATAACTGTTTACTGATGCTATTTAAGGTGTTTATGGCCTAACTAATAACCATTAACAAACTAATATTAAACCCTTCATAAATGCTTTATAAGGGTAGTCTTATTCTAAAGTGGTACCAAAGCGTGTAATAAAACTTTGGGCAGTTCATCACGACAAAATCTTGTATCTCCAAATGACAACTTGAATGGAAGTTAATGGAACAAGATTTTTCCTCCAAGCAGTTTTGGAGCACTTCTACTCTTCCATCATGAAATTTTAACACAATTTTGTTCATATAACTCCAATCTACATAAGGTTATGTATTAGTTAATTTGACATAAATATCTTTATATAACAGTTCTATATTTTTTTCTGAGATATTAAGACTTTTTTCTTCCTAATCTGAGCCCATTTTTCTATTAGTTTGTATTATCTTTGCCAGGTTTTGTGTTTTTTTTGTTTTTTATTTTGTATTTTGTTTGTATCTCTACTTACCTGTTTCACTCTGCCTGTACAGTACTTGTTTAAAAATGTATCATATATCATAATAACCTTATGTATTATGCATAATATTATGCACTACACTATATACTTACGCATTATATATGATACTAAAGGGCCCATATTCTACGTTTCTTTCCTTTTTTCCCTGAGATCCACTTATAACATTTGTCATAATTCATTTTACAAGAACATTTTCCTGCCTCTCTTTATCTCCTAGAATTAAACAGGCTGTTTTTATTACTGTGCCGTTAAGACTGACATATGTAAATGAGCTCTGTTCTGATTGGCTCCGCTCATTTTAAAAGCACAGAGCTGAAACACTCCTTATAACTTCACCACAAATGGCCAGAATTAAACTGCTGTAGTCTGGATATATGTAAATCATTACTTATATACCTATTAGTTACTGTTATTGGTCATTTTAAATAGTTATTTGTAGTAAATAGTTTCTTTTTTATGACTATTATTATTTTTACTATGACTCTTTTTAGTTGTGTGAAATATCCCATATAGATCATGGCGATTTGAAGTGGACATTTAACGGCGACTCTCACCAGTCATCGAGTTTTCAGAGGTGCTGAGCTGCTCTCTGAGTTTGTCCACGTCGTCTGGGTGGACCTGCTCGTACAGGGTGCTGCCGAACCACTCCGACTGAGGATGGTTCAGGACGGGCGTCACCGAGTCTGAAACATAGATCACCCGCCCCGTCTCCGCCGCCACCACAAACAGGAAACCGTCGGCTGCCTCCAGGATCAGGTGCTTCAGTTCCTGCAATAAAATATAAATGACATTACAGCAGCCGTCAGATTCAGTTAGCATACTAATGCTAAAACTGATCCGTCTGATAATTACTGTTCTGCTCAGTAATAATGGTGCTGCAGTATCCTATCCTGTCCACGTCAACCTCTCCGGCATGTTCTATTATCATCTTTGGCACCTTGATGTGTTTAAAATGATTTGAGACCGCCGCGTCTGCACTCAACAACTCGCCCAATTTTATAACCCGCCAGATCTTTCTTGTTGCATTAGAAATCACATGGTGAAATGTCAATTTAAAAATATCTTTCATTAAATGTAGCATCATGATCAGACTACTAAAATCAGATATAAGTTTGGGCGCCTCTGGTCACATGATATTTTGTTGATTGTGAAAATCTCCACAGAGGACACACATTTTAATGCACAATTACTGTTTATTTACTGAACTGAACATATCGGGAAACAAGTAAAACATAAAATACGGCCTGTACAAAGGTTACAGCATATTTTTCCTTATATTTATATTTACTGTTTTTTTCTGTTATTTTTAAATATGTTAAAATTTTCAGAAAAAAAGGAATATTTAAGTTTGTACCCTGCAGAGGATGTGTTTACTCATTTACACTTACTTGAAATCAATGAAAATTGCCTGAGGGTGCAGGCAAACATTCGCATACGAATGCATATGTCTAAATATGACTAATATGACAAATAGGAATTTCTACAGCTTTAGCTGCGGAGTTCCTAGCATTTGAATAAAAAAAAAAAGAACAAGAACAACATTAAACTGAATCCACCTTAACATGTATATATATATATATATATATACACATAAAACCTCGTATCTCCAAAATAACAACATACTTTACTTTTAATGTAAGTCAATGGAACCAGATGTTTTTCCAAGTACTTTTGGGTTGTTTCTTTCGGTCCATTCATCTTGAAATCTACACACAATATAATGGGCAGCAGGCATTTTTTAATTATGTCAAAAACTGAAAAACGACAAAAATGGATATATGAGGTTTTCTTCCGACAACAGCAATATATATTTATATGCGACCTGTATATATACAGTTTCAGAATTAGTCACTCGAGGACCCCGAAGGGTACGCGTACCACCGCTTGGGAACTACTGTTTTATGGGGAAAACAAATGCCATCTTTAAAAATTGCTGCTGTTGATCTCTGTGGTAAACCAAAAAGTTCCCAACCTGATATGCTATGTCCTGCCAAATATCACTGGAGCCTCTGGGTTACGAGGCAATTTAGCTGTAATGTGCTACATACATGCTCCTCTGCCCTGAAATGATGTCACATGAAATTAAGTCTATTATTACCCTTCAACACTGTATACCAACACCAGCTACTCAAACTGTAGCCTAAAACTGCCAAAGCTTCTAAACCACCACATTTGGCAAAGCCTGCTGTTTTTTTGGGGGGGTATTCTTGTGAGGTTAAAGTCTTAGGATGTCAATTCGATGTACAGCAGCAAAGCAGCAATGTTTATATTTCAGTTCCAGTAAGGATCCAGTAACATTTGGAGGGAAAATGTACACACCAGGAGCGGATAGCTACCACACATGCAGCAGAGTTGACTGGAAGTGAACCCCAGACCACCAATTTCAGAAGGACCAAAGATCGAGTCTCTGGACTGCTCCCAGGCTCAAAAACAGTTTTCACACATGACCAAACATATCAGACTCACAGAGCGATCGGCCCTGGGTCCAGAAAAAAACACTCTAGTGTGAAAACGCCCTCAGACCCAGAGTTCCTAATATGGGCAGGGAGTTGACTACATGACTTCAGAGTGTAAATCAAAAATACAGTACAGACTCAGCAGATACAGTGGTGCTTGAAAGTTTGTGAACCCTTCTAAATTTTCTACATGAATTTGATTAGTCCTGCAAATCGACTTGGTGGAATTTTAGCCTACAAAAAGCTTAAACTCTTACGTTGGTGGGTTTCCCCATATGAACTGCTTGCTTCAGGTCCTTCCACAACATTTCTATAGGATTATGGTCAACACTTTGACTTGGCCCTTCCAAAACATTAACTTTATTCTTCTTTAACCATTCTTTGGTAAAACGACTTGTGTGCTTAGGGTTGTTGTCTTGCTGCATGACCCATGATCTCTTGGTTTTTTTGACATTTTCCTTCAGAATTTGCTGGTATAATTCAGAGTTCATTGTTCCATCAATGATGGCAAGCAGTCCTGGCCCATATGCAGCAAAACAGGCCCAAACCATGATACTACCACCACTGTGTTTCACAGATGAGATAAGGTTTTTGTGCTGGAATGCAGTGTTTTCCTTTTTCCAAACGTAATGCTTCTCATTTAAACCAAAAAGATCTACTTTGGTCTCATCCGTCCACAAAACATTGTTCCAATAGCCTTCTGGCTTGTCCATGTGATCTTTAGCAAACTCCAGATGGGCAGCAATGCTGCTTTCTCCTTGCAACCCTGCCATGCATGCCATTGTTGTTCAGTGTTCTCCTGATGGTGCAATCATAAACATTAACATGTGTTGTGAAGATCAGAGTCTGATAGATCCCCGTTCTTTAAATAAAACAGGGTGGTCTGTCACACCTGATTGCCATCCCATTGATTGAAAACACTTGACTCCAATTTCACCTTCAAATTATCTGCTAATCCTAAAGGTTCACATACTTTTGCCACTCATAGATATGAAATATTGGATCATTTTCCTCAACAAATAAATGACCAAGTCTAATATTTTTGTCTCATTTGTTTAATTTGGTTCTCCTTTATCTACTATTAAGACTTGTGTGAAAATATGATTAAGTTTTAGGTCAAATTTAAGCTGAAATATAGAGGATTGTAAAGCGTTCACAAACTTTCAAGCACCACTGTAAGACATGAGGTTCAAATGCAGTATTTTTCTAAGAACAAAGCTGTTTTTTAAACACGCTTTCTGATACATTACCATGCTGATTACTGAGTCTGGAATGCGACTTTGCTCAGCAACAGCTTCCATTCGTCAGAGCAGCGAAAAAACGATTTTTAAACGTAAATGGACACAGTACAAAACAAACAGAAGTCTGCCAAAAAACCATGTTGATTTTAGTCGTGGGTGACTGTTTTAACTAAACTGCACAGTGAGTGCCTGGCGTGGGTCTATTAGTCATCCTCCTGCTGACTAACTCTGTCCTGGCAGAGCTCTGCGGTGTCCCGCGCACCTGCTCGGTGAGGAAGGAGGGTTTGTAGGCTCCGTCCGTCGACGTGTTCCCCGTCCCCCTCATGGACTTCATGTGGGAGACAGCCATGCGCAGGATGGTCAGCTTGTCGGGTTTCCTGGCCAGCGCGCTGCAAGTGGGCACCATGTCTGACAGCTCTGTGATGTACTGCGTCATTTTATTGCGTCTGCGCCGCTCAATCTCGCTGTGGTTCTCTCTAAACAGAGAAATAGAAAGAAGGGCTTTTAAAAGCATGTAATAACATATTAATAAAGAGCAGCTAAGGGAGTAAGTAATTCTACAAAGACTGAAGATGACTGGAAATGCATCACTGAATCTCAGGCTTTAGCAAGAATCGGTTCAATTTGATTATTTTGCAATGATTCAGAATTATTTTTAAAACTAAACTGAATACACAAATGTAGCTATTTACAAAGTAGTGACATATAGACAATACAAATAATACACCAAGCTTTTTAGGGGAATTAAACTAGCCTGAAATGATTACTTTGGCCCAACAGATAAACACATACTACAGTGAATATCATTAAAATCAATTATGAATGATTATAATATTCCAAACTCTATTGAGTTGCATCATTACCTTCAGATCAGAGCATTTTGACTCACTTAAAGCTATAAACCATTGCACTGTGTATGAAAACAGTGCTGGTGATGCATCTACTCCTGAGCTCGCACAAATATATCATATTTGATATGGAAAATAATATGCAGACAAATAAATATGGATTTATCTAAGACGCACCAAACGACTCTTCATCACATTTCTCTGAGGATACAAAATCACACTGATTAAGCACAAAGGAACAATCACATTCACTTTACATCTAGTTAACTATGTACCATATCTTTCAATTCTATTATTATTAAACGGAAATTCCACTAATTCTTCACATTTTATGCATAAATAAATCTTTACCATGTAAACAAAGTCATTCAGAGCGGTTTGGTGTGAAATACTCTTATAACTTACAGAGTCAGGATTGTTCACAGTGGTGGTGATAGGAACCAGACGTCCACCTCTAAAAGCTCCCTGACAGAAAGTTATTACATGAAATGGTTAGTTATTTGCTGCCTGATGTCTGACATACTGTTTTATGATCGTGTGTGATAATGTTTGGGTATAAAATGTATTTTTAATCCATTTATTTTAATCCATTTATGGCAGAGAAGTACATGCAGGGTGTTGAGAGGAAAAATAGCACCCAAAGAAACGTATTTTTTCCAGATTTATTGCTATTTTTACCATCATCAAAATTACATATAAACACTCAGAAGACACGTGTAGGTTCACTGGTGGTTTTGATAGTAAATAAAATGGTTATATCTGTGTTGTAGTTATGGCGACCCCTGGTTCCTATCACCACCACTGTAAAGAGAACCATTTCACACCAAACTTTTCTGAATGACCAGTGAATTGAAAAATCAGTAAAATTTCCCTTTACGTGACCTAAGTACTCACACCCTAATTAAATAATACAGTATGGCCCCAAAGAGGTCATTTCCAAACACTTCAGTTTCAACCTTTTCTTTCCATCTTCTCCATTCAGACTCTTTGAGAGCAAAGAGTCATTCTGAATCACTCGAAGTTAAATAATTAAGTGAGCTCCAATGGAGAAGACTGAACGACATTATAAATCCTGAGTGTCAGGGCTGTTGTAATAGTCGTCATAGCACTATAGCTCAAAGCGACAGGCCTATTTCACATGATCGCATCAGTGGGAGATAATTAAAGACTGCATTAAGGGCCGCAGCCACACACGGACTCACACTCAGACAGGTATGCAGAAAAAAAAATTTATAAAAATATCTGTGAGAAAACTGAACAAAAATGAAAATTGTGATGAATTGTGATGAAAACACAAGTGATGAGACCTGAATAAATAAGATTCGATAAGAGCAGAGATAATCCACTTTTACTGTCATCCATCGGATTTATTCATTATTCCTTGATTAACTGCATTATTTGCTGCAGTAATACGCCGATTATAACTCACTGCACTCTGATGCAGACCAACTAAAGCTCTCAGCTGCTTTATTCTGGACTTTTCTCTGCTGTAGACTTTTGAGGTCGAGTCTCAGACACACGGAACTCCAGCAGAGACCCAGTCACTGGAAAGGGCCGTGAGATATCTGGGATAAACGTGAACAAGCTCAAGCCACAAAGAGATGAGGCAAGTCTTGGCACAAGGCGCAGGGCTTTTATCTTGACAAATAGAACGGGGCTTCTTCCAGGTATTAAAACAACGCAATCTGGCTGTTCCCTCCCTTTCTCTCAATCTTGGCACAAGGGGTGGGGCCTGTCTTGACATCAAAATACAAGAGGCGGGGCTTTTACCTTAACAACGACAGGGGCTTGTTTCACTTACAGAATCTGGCTGCTCCCTCTCTCTCCCTCTCTATTTGTCTTGGTGCAAAGGGGCGGGACTTGACACAAGGGGTGGGTCTTTATCTTGACAAATAGGGTGGGGCTTGTTCCATTTATTGAAACAATGCAATCTGGCCACTCCCCCTTGCTCTTGGTCTCAGGCTAGGCAAAAGGGGTGGGACCTGTTGACACAATAGAACGGGGCTTGCTTCGTTTCCGGAAAGATGCAATCTGGGCACTCCTTCTCTGTCTCTCTGGCTGTCTTGGCACAAGGGGTGGAGCTTATCTAGGCACAATGGGTGGGGCTTAGTCCATTTTTGGAAATGGTGCAATTTGGGCACTCTGTCTGTCTTGGTACAAGGGGTGGCTCTTTATCTTGCCACTCCTTCCCTCAATATCTATATATCTATATCTCTTGTCTTGGCACGGGGGGGCGGGGCTTGTTTTGGCACAAAGGGTCTGGCTTGTTCTGTTCCATTTACTGAAACAATGCAATCTGGCCACTCCCTCTTTACCTCTCTCTCTCTCACTCTCTCTCTTTCTCTCTCATTATAACTAAAAGGGCATGGACATTTGCCTTGACAAGTAGGCCAGAGCTTGCTCCATTCACAGAAACAATGCAGTCTGGACACTCCTCCTCTGTCTCTCTAGCCTTCTTGGCACAAGGGGTGGGGCTTATCTTGGCACAATGGGCGGGGCTTTTTCCATTTATGGAAAGGATGCAATCTGACCACTCTGTCTGTCTGTCTTGGTACAAGGGGTGGGGCTCGTCATGGCACAAAGCAATACAAAGAACTGTATGATAAAAGACTAATGTCAAAGTACCAAATCCTCAAATCAGTAAGCATCATTGATAAGAGCAAAAACCACCAATAAAATTCAGTAATCGTTTCTAGATCCCTCGGCAAGAAAGCGCTGCAGTTTATCAGTGCGTGTGGAAATCAGATTAACACACCGCTGTGAGTTCACCATGAATTATAAACGGCAAGACTGAATAATAAACGACGAATAAGACAAACGAACAAAAGTGTGTTTTTTGCCCAAATCTAATCAAAGCATCTCTACGTTTATCACTCACTTATCAGTTTGTGAATCTATCTGTGATTCACATGAAGTAGATAAAGTCAGTGTAAACAGGAAATCAAACCCCCTTTCCTTTCTGCACTGTGATCTATTTCTGAGTTGAACGCAGTATCAGGGAGGGTCTCTGAGCTCGCTGAGCACTCACTCTCCATGATAGGTGGGGGTGGGAGAGCGAGGTGAAACATGATGTTATTGGTTTATATTATTTTTCCGGCTTGCTGATGCACAGTGAAGTAATTAAAGTCAGAAGATGCTTCAGAGGCTGCAAAAGTCATCACATATTGATAGAAGATTACAGGAAAAACAAGAATGCTGTCTTTTAAACAGTGGTGGACGGAGTAGACAAATCATGTACTTGAGTTAAAGTAGAGGTACCCAAGGTAAAATATTCCTCCAGTAAAAGTAGAAGTCCTCCCTTCAGACCTCCACTTGAGTAAAAGTACAAAAGTATTTGCCTTCAAATGTACTTCAAAAGTATCGAAAGTAAAAGTACTGAAAGATTAATTATGACTCAGATGTCCTATTATCATTTTTGTAACAAGACTCTTACTTCATTAAGTCATTTTAGGTGAAAATACTCTAGTGTCACATTTGGTAAATCAATCTTTTAATAGAATGTCAGTAATTAGTCTGTAGACTAATTAGAACCAAGTGGCTGTAAAATAACTTTTTGCAAACAAGCAAAGTTTCAGTTTAAGATTTATTTGCAACTTAGTTACAAGTTTAAGTTTAATAAAAACTTTAAACAAAGGTTCACAAATGAGTTTTTCTTTACTATATTGCATCTGTAGGTCTCTGTTCATAAACATTAACTAGCCAAAACAAATTTACTATAAAATGAAATAATGTTTGTATAAATTCTGAAAAAAGACACGTCAGTCACAACTGCATATGTGTACATATTTCTATATTGTGGTCTATTTACACAAAGTTAGTTCTATTATTTATGTTGGAATAGACACTGGCAAAATTTTACACTGCTGCACTGATGTTGAACCGTATGTTTGCACAGGGTTGGTATGTCCAACAGGTCAAAACAAGCTCAAAACAAAGTGTGCGCTGTACATTACGTTTTTATAAAAATATAAGCCAAAAGGAACGACAGATTTTGCATACTGTAGTGGAGTAAAAAGTAGGATATTTGACTTTGAAATGTAGTGGAGTGAAAGTAAAAAATTGCCCAAAATGGAAATACTTCAGTAAAGTACAGATACATGAAAAAACTACTTAAGTACAGTAACGAATTACATTTACTTTGTTACTGTCCACCACTGCTTTTAAATCTGGGGTTCTCAACCATTTCTACCCCAAGGCCCACCTGTTTATAAACACAAAGAACAGCGGAAACTATAATCAACTTTTTAAGTACAATTTTCTTTTTCTTTTCTTAAGTGCTGAAACTGAAAGAGAATAAGGGCCTAAAAAAGATCAGATCAACCATTTTGGCTCAATCACAGGTCCCAAAAATTGCAGTTATGTTTAAAATATATTTGCAGAGATGTTAAAAAAGGGGAAAAAGCAAAAAGAATATAAATGTATGAGGTGGATGTGGACTGTGATTTGGAGCTGCAGTACATCACGTTTTTAAAGAAAATAATCCAAAGCCTTTGGTCTCGAGATTTCTCTTTTCTCCTTGTGATTCATTTAAAATACCTAAACCTCACTCCACACACCAGGCTTTTGGATTAGTGTCGTCACAATCAACAATAAAAACAAACCTTATTTTATTTGGCAACACTTTACTTGAAGAGTGTCTGTATAACACATTCACATCAGCTTACATAAACACTTCATAACATGTTAATGAATGTTTGAATCAACATTTATAAAGTATACATGTTTTACAATGTATTCATATGGACTACCATGCCATTTTATTGAGAAACATTTTTCAAAATAAAAATCTTCATCTTTTTTATTTTGAAAAAGTATAAGATTTTCAGTTAATTGGAAGGAACACCCTCCAGCTGCCGCTCCAATCCATCAGCTTGGGCTACAAGCAGGAAAAGACTGGGCTCATTCTCGAGTTGAGAGAGTCCACTGACCAAACTGTAAGGAATGCGAAAGCCAAGGTTCTGACAGGTCGGAGGTGGAACGCCCAAACCAAGGTCGACCAATGCAGGCAAGGCTCAGCTTCCTCATCCGCTCAACCTACGACACGCTTTCCTGTCCTCGGAACCTTCACCAGTGGTTTGGGAGGGAGGAATGCTGCACACTCTGCAATACCCCTAATGCAAGCCTCCAGCACATCTTGACAGGCTGTAAGATCGCGCTCTCCCAGGGACGCTACAGATGGCGCCACAACCAGGTAGCTCCGTTTCCCAGTCGAGATCACTGCTACATCTCTCCACCCTGACATAGCGGTATGGTCCACCAAGGCAAAGTCCGTGCTCCTCATTGAGCTCACAATACCAGCGGAGGAGGGGATGGAGGCTGCCTACGAACGCAAGAAGGCCAAGTACAAGTACTGGCTGCTGAGCGCCGGGAGGCTGGCTGGAAGACTACCATCTATCCAGTGGAGGTTGGACGCCGAGGCTATGTGGGGCTGTCAACCATACGCCTTTTGAGGGACGCAGGAGTGACTAGAGGGAACCTAAAGAAGGCAACCAAAGAGCTAGTGGAGGTGGCTGAGGGGGGCAGCTTTTGGCTCTGGCTGAGGAGGAGAGACAAGTGCTGGGGAAAGAACAACTAACCCCAACAACAGCCGCGGAGGGTAACACCTATCAGCTCTAGGGGGTGACAGGGAGACGTCCCTGTCACTGCTCCGCCACCAGGAGACGTTCCAGGATTAAAGGAGTGAAACGTTAAAGAAGGGTGGTTCCTGGTTGATGACCCTGCAGCTGACCCGTGGGCACCGGAGGAGGTGCGACTGGCAGCAATGCCGAGCAGGTGTTCCATCTTCCTGTACATTTACTTCATCTTTTTTATTTTGAAAAAGTATATGATTTTCAGTTAAATGCCTCGTTTCTGGACAGCCTAAATAAAAATTACCTCACGCTTTTCATCTATACTTCACCTATACAGTATGAACAGTCTAAGACTCATAAATATGCTCAGGAACAATCATTCGCCTGAATCTTAGTGTGGTGGTGTGCCTAAGTGTCAAGGCACTTAATGACCAAAAAAGCAAGGTCATTTTTATTTTGACTGTCCAGAAATGAGGCGTTTTACTGAAAAATAGTTAAAAAAAAAAATGAGAACTTTCTTTCTGAAAAATGTCTTTCAGTAAAATGGCGTAGTAGTCCATATTATTATCATGTAAAACATGTATACTTTATGAGTGTTGATTTAAACATTCATGAACATGTTATGAAGCATGTAGACACCCTTTAACTAAAGTGTTACCCTTTATTTCTGCTTCTTCGTCATCAGTTTACCAGTTTGAGGTTAACCACTCACTGCACTTATGCTCGGTCACAAATACGATCCATGAGCCAAAATCAAACACATATCTTTACTATTAGATGCAGTGATGCGGAACCGAGATCAAATGAGGGTCTGTAAAGAGTGAGACGTTTAAACAGGCAGATTATGCTTATGGCACAGTGCCAACGTGCTACTACAAGAGCACTGTCCTTTTATTTGTATGTATGTAGCAAACAGTTTCTTTTAGTTTCTTAATTATTAAGTTAATTTTTTTTTCCACTTATGTTTTTGCGATAAAGTACTGTTGCCGGCCGACTACGAACTACTGCCTCCCCAGAGTTGATGTGATGACTTTTGCTTAAAATGACATGAATTAACAAAATAAAAAGGTCCAATAGGATTTCACCAAAATTTTATCAAAGTGTATCTATGTGAGTAAACTGTTGGTTTATATCAAATCACATGTGTTTTCATCACTTTGATGTTTCCTCCCCCAATGGAGGAGCTGGTGGGCTGTGGTGGGTCGGTAGAGGGGCCAGTGTCTGGCCAGGTTGAGTTCTAGCAGTCCTGTAGGACCAGCATGTGATCGCCCTACCTGGCATAGCGCTCCTTATCAGCGGGAATTTGATCATCGTCATACCTGAACACAGAGAGGGAGATGCAGAGAGAGAGAGAGAGAGACAGAGAGAGAGAGAGAGAGAGAGAGAGAGAGATGGATGAGAAAGTGAAGCAATACGATTTTGAACAACATAAAAGATCTCCAGTGCTATTATAAAAATACTGATCTATTTAATATCAAAAGACTTATATGTAAACATGTGGAACAAAAGGATGGATTGGAAATGGATCAATGATACAAAACAGAAAAGAGAACATATAGATTTAAAGTGACTGTATCCCTATTTTGTTATTATGTATGAACTATTTAGTATGTGTGTATATATATATATATATATATATATATATATACACACACACACAGCGGCCACTTCATTAAAACCACCTCCTTTTTTCTACACTCACTGTCCATTTTATCAGCTCCACTGACCATATAGGAGCACTTTGTAGTTCTACAATTACAGACTGTAGTCCAGTATACTCTGCATACTTTGTTACCCTGTACTTTAATAGTCAGGACCCCCACAGGACCCCCACAGAGCAGGTATTATTTGGGCAGTGGATCATTCTCAGCACTACAGTAACACTGATATGTTGTGCTGGTACGAGTGGATCAGACACAGCAGTGCTGCTGGAGTTTTGGAGTCTGTAATTGTAGAACTACAAAGTGCACCTATATATTTAGTGGAGCTGATAAAATGGACCATGAGGATAGAAACAAGGAGGTGAACGTAATGAAATGGACGCTGTGTGTACATCCAGGCATATGCAAATGTTTAAAGAACGTTTTGTTAAGTTTATAAGTTAATTTTCAAATTTAAAGATGACATTTTTCGGCAAATTTGCTGATTTTAACATGTTGGATATAAAATATATGTGCGGTGACTTTTACACATACATGTTTTCTATTATATTTTCCAATATGTTTCAATATGTAATATGTTAAATTCAGCAAATCAGTAGTATTTGTGTAAATGTAATTTGATCATGGGTGCCCAAACTTTTGCTCACTGCTGTGTATGTGTATATACTGTTTTAATAATAATTTTACTAATAAAAAAAGTTTCATTTGCTATACTTTCACTATCCTAAATATTTACTCTTTTCAGTTGCTTGTTTTTTTGTGTAATGCTTGGCTACACTGTAAATGAGGGTCTCTCTCTACCCTGAGTGGTCTTAATTTCCCACTTGAAGTACAGTTTATACTCTTTAAAACTCAACTTTTCAAATTTAATCTAAAAAGGTTTTTCTACAGATATCAGGCTTGTTATACACTCTGAGCAAACTGAGATCCTGCAGTATTAATGAAGACTACACAGCTGTGTCTGACTTCTACTGTAAGGGGAGATACAATGTTGGTGTGATTTCTTGTCTGGCCAGCAGAGGGCACTGTCTCCACTCCGGCGCTAGAGCCAGGGCCGTGAGCTGTGGTCAGCGGAGGAAATAATGGATACACGTCCTTTAAAGAGAACATGGACTGAAAGGAAACCACAGGTTGAGGAAAACAAACAAACAAACGTGAGAAAATGTCCTGAAATGGCAAACGCTGTGGAGACACGCTCAAACAGTGCTGGAGAAAATCTAATCAAACTGCTCAAAAAGTGCAAATGTGAAACAATAAGGACAAGACTTATGATTTATGGTCTGAATGTGATGCTGCTGCTGGATATTCTTAAATAAACATGTTCTTTTCACAGAAGATTTGTTCTATGTAAACACAAAGGAACTAATCAAACAATTCTGGAAAGAACAAAATTTTGAAAATATGATGGTTCATGAAAATTCTAACCTTGAAAATTTGCTCGGTCCTTCTCCGTCTTCATCATCAAAGTCCATCCTGCAGAGGAATGATTATAATATTTATATAATTATCAGACACAACACAAAGCAGTCTTATATTTACAACATATGTCAAAAAGTTTGCAGACACAGCGTTTCTTCTGAAATGAAGGTACTCTTCTGGGAAGGCTTTACACCAGATGTTGGAACATTGCTGTGAGGATCTGATTGAGCATTAGTGAGGTCAGGTACTGATGTTGGAAGGTCAGTTCTGGTTCACTCCATCTCATCCCAAAGGTAGTGGATGGAGCTCCACGTCTAAAGAATTTAATGCCTGATGTCTGAGACATTGTTTTACGATAGTTTTGAGAAGGTTTTGGTTATAAAATGTATTTTTAAAACAGGTTCATAATGGAGAGACACATAGGGTGTTGTAAGAAAAATAAATAAATAAAATAAATAAAACTTTTTCCCAGGTTTATCATTATTTTATCATAACCAACATTACATATACAAGCTCAAAAGACACGTGTAGGTTAACTGGTGGTTTTGGATAGTAAATAAAATGGCTATATTTGTGTTCTAGTCATGTCGACGTCTGGTTCCTATCACCACCACTGTAAAGAAATCAGAACCATTTCACACCAAACCACTATGAATGACTGTTTACCTCTTGACAATGAAATTACAGAGAAATTTTATAAAATAGGTGGAATTTCCCTTTAACTGGTCATTTTTGTAACTGAAATGAAGCAGAGCAAAAAAAAACCCTTTGCTACTTTATAGGAACATTTCACCATTTTTTCAAAATTCCTCCATAATTCAGTTGTTGAGATTTAAACAAAGTCATTCACAATTCTGACTCGGTTTCTCTAGATTAGAATGACTTTGTTTACACCTTAACCACTGATTTATGCATGAATTTTGTAAGATCTGTGGTATTGCCCTTCAAACTACCAAGTACACTTTTTGGGTTTAGCTAAAAAAATACTTTATCAGACTGTAACACTTTTCCTTCTCTTTTTGTGGTGACAAAAATGAGTCAACAATATCTGCACATCAAACCTGTTGGGCTGCAGACCGACACCGTCCATCACCGTGGTCAACAGGTCTGAGTGATTTATGCATGAGGAGAGGGAGGAATGGTTCAGATGCCTCCTTCAGAAGAAGGTGGTACAGATCACCACACTGTGGCAGTGATAAGTCTGCTGATTTTATCAGGTCTAATCCACACACAACACAACACATACAAATACACACAGCCTCTCGCTGAATCGCCTCCAGAGCCAGGTGATGCCAAAGCTTCCTCTTCTGCCAGGACTATGGTTTAACCATAAATACCCCAAACAATTCAATGCTGAGAACGTGCTCACAAGCCTGCCAATTCTCACGCACTGGTCGTGAGACTCACGCAATTCCATCTAATCTCACGCTCTCATGCCACACTCAACATTTCTCACACATTTTTATAAACCTGAATTTCTCATGATGTTTCTACTACTGTTTAGTTTTCACTGATTAAAAACACACTGAATCGGCAACGGTGGTTTACCTGAATACCAGAGACAGAGATCACACAAGCAAGTCCGTGTGTGAACTGAACGCACTCGTGAGTCAGACTTGGTCAATAAACTGAACACGACAAATAACAAGAGCTATGCTCATGACTACACACAGCAACACAGTCTAACAAAAGGACTGCGGTTCTTTCTTACACATGCTAAACAGCAAGCTAAACTACATTCTGGGAGTCAGCTTTAGCCCGTAGCATGGTACTGCTACATGAAAATGAAAGAAAAAGAAATTTACCTAGTTTCCTTTTTACATTTCTACATTTACATTTTATTTACATTTACATTTTATATACTTTTTACCCCAAGTGTAGCTGATTAGCCAAGACATGTTTGGTGTTTGAAGTTTGCTTCTTTAGTTTTACAGTGGAGCTAGGAGGCTAATGCTGCTAAGCACTGTAACAGAAGCTTATGTGTAATTAGCATGGTGCTAACTGCATGCCTTTAGCATCATACACTTTTCTCAAACCATGTAAAGATGTTCAGTAATCTCTAATAGAGTTGCTATCTATAAACATGGACAAAACCGCCACATAGCTAAAAACAGTATTAGCAGCCACCTTGAAGTCTGTATCAACAACAGCAAGCTTTCATTACTTGTTAGCAACAAGTTAGCTTACCTGCGACAAATTAGCTTACTTCTGAGCTAATCTATAAGCTAATTTTATTTGCTAGCTGCATTAGCTCTATTAGCCTTGTAGCTTCAGTGCGAAACCACAGAACTTTGGACATCAAGCGTTATGGCTGATTGGCTACATGTTCCTGTAGAAACTCAGGAAAAATCAGATATTGGCAAGTGAAATCAGTTTAAAACTAGCTTATATATATATTATTTCTGATTTTGAGATCACTGTAAGAACATTATAAGCGCATTCAATTTATTTCTAGGTGTTTTGATTTGTTTCAAGTAATTTTAGCTAGTAAAAGTGTCTCAATCCACTAGCAGAAAATTTTGCTTGTTTTAAGCATTATTTCTGGAGTCTTGAAACAAGCAACGATATCTGCCAATAAAATAATACTATTTCCCTAGATAGAATTACTTTACACAAATACAAAACCTAGAAATAAGTTCAATAATCTTAGAATATTCATATGGCAATCTTGTAGTGAGACATATGAGATGTATTGACTAGATTTAAGATGATTTCACTTGCCAAGACATCATGTATTGTAGTGAAAACTTGATTTTTCCCGAAAATATTGATGTGAAATTAGATTTTTCACTAAAATATTGCTAAAAAACACAAATTTTCTTTGCTTTTTTGAAATAAATGAGTATGTAAGGTGTGGGAAAACCTCAGTTTCAAAATGCACCATACTTCACAGTCCATTCAGTGTATATTTGGAAAACTAAGCTGCAAACACAGCCTGTGTTGAATTCAATGTTTTTTGTGATGTGATCTGCCTGTATAGCCTAGAGAAGTTAAGCTCTACCCACTCATATTGAAGTTTAACGAGTGTTTTAAACTGGGATGCTGTTTGAATGAGGCAACCAATCAGAACAGAGCTCATTTACATATAGCAGTCTTAAAGGCACAGTAACAAAACCAGTCTGCTTAATTGTAAGGAAAAAAGAGAGACTGGAAAATGATCATTGTAACAGTTTTTGGTACATAATTAAACACGAATGTCATAAGTGAATCTCAGTGAGAAAAAAATGAATGCAAGAAGTAGTTTATGGGCTCTTTAAGAGGTCATAGAGACATTTTCTCTCAGAGACACACAGTGAGGTACGTAATGACGCTCGTAGACCTTTATTCTGTGTGGGGATTATGTTATGCTGGAGGACGGAGAGAGACAGGGATGAGTTGCTGAAGAGCAGTGAGTGGGCAGCTGAAGTGTGCTATCCATGGTAACGGATGGTATGAGTTTATGACGTGCCTATGAATAACGCAATAGCCGTTAAAAAGCAGCAGTTCAGAGTGAATAGGACGTTCTGAGAGAAATTCACCTCAGGTTGGTACACCATGTGTCGAGGCACAACACAAAGATTTCAAATGTGTTCTCACCGCAGCCGTTCTCACCGTATCGGTCAGTGCGCATGGAAACACCAGAAAGGGGAACTCCACCAATCTTTCAAAATGGCTCTGTGTATCATAAGTGGCAATTATCGTGGTCCAAGGACCAGTTGATGTGTGATGCCAATAGAATACCAAGGAGTTTTTAAAATTACCTTTGTTTATAATATATATTGGGTCTTACAAGGAAATGTCTGCCAAATTTTGTACACACTGACCTTCTGATAAATAAATACAATTTAAAATACCTTGAAAATACACAATTCTTGGACTTGTATTAATGTAATTGTTGATCAAATACTTCCACATCAGTCACCCCTGTATTTTAGTCTTAAAATGCATAAGAATTTTCACGCTGAAATCACAAAGATTTCAGACTCTGCCACAGGGAGTTAGTTTTTGAACTTTTTTTTTTACCCAAAATTTTTCGTGTCTGTCCGTGTCTATTTTGTGTTTATTGTTATTTTGTGCTGCAGAGCTGTAAAGAATGAATGGATGATAAATTAAGTCATTAATTATTCCTTTACTGAAAAAAGATTGTTTACTAATTTCCTTTCTGCATAGTTAAATGGTTAAGATGTAAACAAAGTCATTCAGAGTGGTTTGATGTGAAATGCTACATTTTAGTGAAACTTACCAAGTCAGAGTTGTTCACAGTGGTGGTGATAGGAACCAGACACCCACCTCTAAAAGCTCACTCAGCTGTGAATGCACTGCTCGATGCCTGAGACATTGTTTAATGGTAGGTTTGAAAAGTGTTTTGATAAAATATAGATTTCATTTCATACTTACAGAGGAGAGGTACATTCATGATGTTGTGAGGCAAAATACAGCAAAAAGAAAACATGTTTTCAGATTTATCCCTATTTTACCTTTATCAGCTTACATATAAAAACTCAGAAATGATTTATCATGAAAAGATGATAGTTTTGAGAAAGTTTTGGTCTAAATCCTAATTTTTAAAATCCATTCATGGAGAAGAGGTGCACATTGGGCCTGTGCAAAACATCATTCTAGACACAGCAATAACTTTTAAATTACGATGCAATTAAATTACAAATGTGTATGTATTGAAAGTTTCCATCTAAACTTTTTTATTTGTTTCAATGAGCTACAAGTGAGAAATATCATCAAATCATGCCATGCTTTTATAACTGCAATAAGTAATAAACTGGAATAATTTGTGAGAAATACACTGCACACTGACACTGACACTTTTGCAAAACATACAATCAAAACATTACAATCAGCCCAGTGGAGCGAGTGTAAGCAACTGCCACCATCTGGAAGCACTGCTATCAATTTCATTTCCATATTTTATCTTTTTCCCAGCAGTCAGACCAAGAGAAAGAAACAAATAGTCAAGCAACACTAAAGACTGTACGGCATATGAAGCACATGGACTACTATATAATGGGTCTCTGGAAACAAACTTATTACCTGAAGGCCCGAATAAAATCGCTCTTTCAAATGATCTCATCTTAAAGTTTAAACGACTTCAGTAAAGAGAAGCTCTTTACGATGTCTTTTAAGGGACTGATCTGCCCTAATCTCATTTAAAAGTATCTGATGAAGACCCACTTCAGTTCACGCCGGCACAGCACATGCGTCACTGTCTGAAACGGAAGATGTTAGAGGTGCATTCTGGCTGGCACTACACTGCAGGTCTGATCTCAGAAGAAAAATCAAAGGAAACAAAGAGAATTATAAATCAGGGCCTTGGTATTGCTGCTGCAGTGTATAGAATCTGAGGACCTGCTGGGCAAAGATCAGCTCAGCTTCACATCTCTTGAAATGGAGTGGACCTCTGGTTCTGGATCAGCAGCCCACTGTACAGCAATTCCTCACTTAAAGGAACAGCTCATCGAAAAATATCATTTACACTATTTTTCTACTTTACCATGAACATACAAACATACAAGATATGTTTGGTGTTATGAAGTTTTTTAGCTTTAAACGGAAGCTATGAAGCTAATAGAGGTCAATAAATGTAGGTGAATTTTAGTGGAAAATAAGGCCTTTTGTTTAAATAAGAAAGTCCCTCATCAGGGACGGCTCTAATGCATCCATAGCCTGTATTAACCACTTAAATAGTGGGCCCAATTTTTTTTTACGCACTTCTAAAACCTAAGAATAGCTCAGCAACGTGCATTGAAGTCCATGTAGTTACTGAATAATAAGCCTAGCATGTAATAAGCCTGGGATTTTAAGGGGTTAAAGAATTTTAAAAATGTACCCCATTTTCCCTCTGACCACAAATGTAGTCGATCAGCCATGGTATGTTTAGTGACTGAAGTTAACCTGTTTCAAGTTTTGGAGTTAGCAGGTGAATGTAACACAACTTTTAAATGGTTATTTCAGGCTTTACAGGGGGACTTGCAGCAGCGCATAGTCACCATATTTTAGCCTGTCTTTATTCTCCTCACTCAGTAATGCTACGTCTTTAAGTTTGAACTAAAAAATTACATAGTGCAGCTTTAAACCTCAATTCAGTGCTTTTAAGTCTGCCAGTCTGTCTGTGAGTAAAACACTGCACTCATCAGTTCAGATGACAGATGTTTTAGCTAAATCTGGAGCAGTTTAGATTTACAGTCTGTCTAACAAGCAGCAGTTGTTCACTTGATTCAATTAAAGTTGTTAAATAAAGTGGAAGAGCACTTGTTTATTGTCCACTGTACACTAAAGCCTAGGGCTCATAATGTCTACAAATATGGCCATTTTACTATCCAAAACCAGTGAACCTACATGTGTCTTCTGAGTTTATGTATGTAATGTTGATGATGGTAAAATAGTGATAAATCTAAAAAAAAATAGTTTTCTTTGAGGATAACTTTTCCCCACAACACCCTGAGTGTACCTCTCAACTGTGAATATGTTTTAAAACCTTATCAAAACTACCATCAAATAACGTCTCAAACATCAGGGAGCATAATTGTAATCATTTCATATACAAACGCTTTTAGAGGTGTTAAGCTCTTCAGACGTCTGGTTCCTATCGCCACCACTGTGAACAACTCTAACTCAGTTAAGGTTCAGTAGAACAGAGCATTTCACATCAAACTAGTCTGAATGACTCTGTTTACATCTTAACCATGTAATTGTGCAGTAAGTTTGGAAATTGGTGAACAATCCTCTTTCAATTAAGAAATAATAATTCATGAATTAATTCATCAATCATTCACTCTTTACAGCTTTTTATGTCTGCTCTTGTCTACACAAAGTAGATCAGAGCAGACATGAAAACCCATGAGCAGTGAGGTGACAAAAAGGCAGCATCATTTCTAGGAGAAAATATTTTAGTGATTAGAAAATTCTTATGCATTCTGAGACAGGGGTAACTGCTGTGGACTTATTGGTTCAACAACTATGTAAAAAGTGCAAAAATGTTGTGTTTTAAGGTATTTGAATTGTACTTTTTTATCAAAAAGTCTATGTGTGCGAAATTTGGCCGACATTTCCTTTTGAGACCCAATATCTATGATAAATGAAGGTCATTTTAAAAACTAATTTGTGTTCTATTGGCACCACAAGGCAAAGAGTCCTTGGACCCCAATAATTGCCACGTGATAGAGAGAGTCATTTGGCTCTCATTTCAGGTAGAAATTTCATATTTAATGAACACATCCATAATTATAAAATTTCAAGGCACAACACAATTTTATCATTATCAACAAGCTTGAAAAAACATTATTATTATAATATAATTTAAAAAAAAAGAATTTTATTTTGGCCACAAAAGGGCACATATCTATGGTCATATCATTATAATAACCCTCTACAATGAAAAATTCCATTCTAATAAATAATATTTAATCTAATATTTATATATTTTGTCAGACAGAAATGTCACTCACCCGGCTGATCTCCTCTTGCCCCCTCGTCCTGGCATGGTGCCCGCCATCCTGACCTGACCCGCCACAGCACCCGCCATGGCCACTGGCCCAGGCAGATCTGTGCCCATTTCTGAAAAACAACAAAACACACTCAGCAATAAACAACAACAGCTGTCTGTGTGCTCAGTCACGCATACTGAGAGATACAACATTCATACACGCACACAAACTGACAGATGTGTGTGTTACAGCACTCTCACACGGCAACCCGCTAATGCACCCCTGCAACACTGAAATCAGCCAAACAAACGCAGTCAAACAAAGCTATTCCACAGTAACGTGTAGGCAGTGTTTCCCACATAGCTTTCTAAAAGGGCAGCGTATGAGCAGATACTCCACAATACAACACCAACCATACAGGCAGAAGAAGAACACACAATTGAAATCGGACGGGTTTTGCTCCAAATACGCAACTGTTCAGAGCAATTTATTTTTGAAATTCAATCTGATCTGTGTTGCTCTTTTATGAGTAAACAACATAACGCAGGTAAGTGCACTCAGACTGTGTGTGAATGCGGCTGCTGCAGCTGAACCCTAATGTAGTAGCAGAATTGTACAGCATTCATTGTGCTGAAAAGTCAGTCACCTCTTACTTTCAAAGTAATACCTTATTTAACACATACAGGCTAATAAAAATGGGCACAAAAAATCCACAATTTGGCTGCAAAGAAATCAGAATCAAACTGTTCATAAAAAAGCATAATCAGTCCATCTTTACATAAAAATAATAACTAGTAGTGATGCAACAAAATAAAAATGCTTGACCAAAACCAAAGACTCAGTCAGCAGAAAACCTGCCATTTATTTATTATTGATAATTGCTGAAGAAAACCATGAGAACTAGATTTAATGTAATTTTAAACGGCTAAACATATTAAATAAAAAAAAGTGGTAGCAAACAACTTGTTTTTTTTTTTTATATGTAAAGTATGTGGACGTGGAATTCGCACCTAGCAGTCTGAGGTTTCTCCAGCAGGGGGCGGTGTTAGCTCACAAGTTGATTTAGTGTTCATCATTTAGCATAGAAACAGTTTCAAAAAACTTTCAAAAATTTCACTTAATCTTAAAAAGTATGCAAGTTAAACAGCGTAAGGAATGCAGCTGCATTTGACCTTGTTTGAGTTTTACAGTTGACCTGCTGACCGGCATAGGACTATTTCTCATCTTCATTATCATTCAAATCATTTCTCATCTTCATTATCATTCAAATCATTTCTCATTTTAATTATCATTCAAATAATTTCTCTTTTTTATTAACATTCACATTATCTTTTATTTTCATTACCATTCAAGTTATTTTTCATTTTCATTACCATTAAACTTATTTGGTAAGTATTAGATTTTGACATTTGACATGTAGGTCAGTTTAAAATTTTGCTTTTTTCCACAAAAATGTTCAATCTTTTTTCCTTTTTCTGACAAAATCCAAAAGTCAACTACTTTTGGTGGCTGAAATTTGTATTAGTAGGAGAAGGAGGAGGAGGCGTGTTATTATTATTAGTAGTAGTAGTAGTAATTAGTAAAAGAGCAACATATCACTATTGTAATAAAACCTTATCTCTCCAAAACGGTAACTTTATAGCACAAGGAAAAAGGCACACAATTTTACTTTTTTCAATGAAACAGCTTGATATAATATGTAATTTTAACACTGTTAAAGTTCCAAAGTGTACTGCTCACCCTCTCCTCCACCCACCCTTACAGTCCATATATGAAAACAAAGCAGCAGAAACAGCCCATTTTGAATCCACTGTTTTTTGCGACATCACAGAAAACAAGTATTTACATATCCATCTATTCATCTTACAGTTTGGCTCCGCCTATTCAAACTGAAGTTATCAGGAGTGTTTCAGCCTGAAGAGCTTTCTGAATTAAGCACAATAAAGGACAGCCAATCAGAACAGAGTCATTTACATGTATCTAATAATTTATATATAGTCTTACATGCACAGTAAAAAACAGCCTGTTTACTTCTCAGGAATGAAGAAAGGTTAAAAATTGGTCACGCAAACATGAACCGAAATCATGTTTTCTTCTGACCGATACTCTGGTTACTGTTCACCAGCCAGACATGATCTCTTGAAAAATGAGGTCTGAATTCTGAATGAGACGCCCCTCGCTATCTAAACCCGCGCACCGCAGACATTTCTGATTAAATATTAGCACTGTGTCTGTCTGATTTATACACTTACTGACCCTCTGGGGAGATTACTGGGGGTCGAGCAGTTCTCACTGCCCTCAGCCGCTGATCTCAGATCTCTCACATTTAAGGACGAAATTTGAAACATGTTTTCTCTCCTCATTATCACAACTGGCTATTTAATTAGTCAGTTTAATTGGCTAGACATGACCACACCCTCTAACATGACCAACAACATCATCTCAGAGCCTTTGATGTCAACTTGTTAAATGTTGGAAATATTGGATTTTTGCTGAAGCTTAGTTTTTATTTAGAATAAAGAGTGTTTAACAATAAAACATGTAACTGCTGTCATATAAAACCCTTTATGACTTAATTTAATTTCATAAAAAAATCACCTGAATCCACAATTCAAAATCAGACCATCAGTGAGGTGCATAAACTTTAATCTTAATCCAAATTTAAACACACTATTTAATGTTAATCTAAAAAGTAGGCCAAAAAACAAAATACATCAGTCCTGAATGTCACAAAATGCTAATACAAAAATGCAGACTGCTGGTCACCATAGCAACATAGACAACAATCTCACCTACCTAGTAGCTAATGAAAAGGCAAAAAGAAAGATTTAAGATGAACATCGATAATTTGGAGACAAATTTACTTATTTGCATTTATAATCACTCCAGCTGGTTTCCTGATACATTTAATCTGCAATAAGAAACTGTCACTAAAAAGTCGCAAAGCTGAAATCAGCTTCTCATTCACCAGCTTCTTGTTCGAATCCCGTTCACCAAATTCGAACAAGAAGCCAGCGAATGAGAAGCTGATTTCAGCCTCTCAAAAAGTTGAATGTCGAGAGACATTTAACAAGAAACTATTCTACTTATGGAAAAGTTTCCTGCCGGAGATGCGAGAAAAGCAGCTATGGCTAAGCTAAAGCTTAAAACAAAGCAAAGTAAGTGTGGATTTTTGTTTATATTTTTTAGCCTTTACTAGAACATCAGCACATACTGAGACATATTTACAGCCATGATGGTAAAATGGACAAAAATAGACCCTGTTTTAGGTCAAAATGTTCAGCCTTTTTTTCCCTTTCAGCTCGAAAGATAGAAAGTACTGATTTTCACCATTTTCAGCCATACCCAACCCTAATCGGGACATCCCCATCTGAGATTTCTAAGTATTAATAGGCGAAAAATGGCTGATATCACCAGCATAACATTGTGAAGCTGCCTGGAAGCTTTGATTTGGGGGAAAATATCTAATCTAATCACTGAACATATGCCTGACTGCCAGTTAGATGTGGCTGCGATGAGGGCATTTGGTTGCTTCTAATTTCTGATTGGTCTAATTCGTCTACAGGCAATTCACAACTCCACGTTATTAGGCTGAATTTCCCCACTTAAAACTTCAACCAACATTGCTGATAATGCAGGCTGTCATTAAAACTGTAGCTCTTGCAATTTAAAATTCTACTCTCTCAAACTGCAATTTCAATTTCAGCCCAACCCTCACATACGGCCCCCTATTGACCCATTAACACCCCCCATTAGGCCCCCACCCCAATTCTTCCTGTTAACAACAAGGTCTGACCCCGAACCCCCAACCCCTATACACCGTCAGGAGCCTGGAGCATCTTGTCTAACCTGTTTTCTGAGGGAGAAACACTGAGAGGCCAACAGCAACACGTACGCAGGCCGCGCAAAAGGAGCTCACACTCCACCGCCTCTAGTCAACTGCAACAGATAAGCCCAACAAAACCCTCTAAAACACAACCCCCCACCCTCCAAATACACTCAAAACGCTGTTAATATTTGATGCGGTGCGCGCTGCACCTCTCCTCGGCTACAGGAGAGAGAGCTGGCGTGCAGACCAGCCTTATCCATTCATTTATGAGGCACAAGCATACGTCTTTATACAAACTTCACTTCAAACATAAACTACAAGAGGATTCCCGTGGCTCTGACAGGAGAGCCGATGGTCCAGAACAGGCCGGGGGGGCAACGATCACACCAGGCAACCGTCCACAGCATACATAAATAAACAAGCTAGGTGTCTGAGCTGATCAAGTCACGTTTAAATGGATCACAGGGCTGTAAAAATGAAAAATAAGCTTATGCACAGAAGGGATGCACGGATTTCTGGATGATAGAATGTATTATAATTTACTATAATAAAGTACGCACTAAAACTTTGGCTGAAATGAAATGCTCAGGCTACTTTCCAATCCAAAAATATTGTTTTTAATATCTATATTTCATTCCTGGATTCGTGTATTTAGTGTATTTTTGATCAGAATCATGAATCACAATATCAATTTATGTCTTTTTATACAATTATAACTTAGACAATGTTAGACAAAGTCAAGTTATTTTTTGGTCAAGTTGTTCTGCAACCATATTGGTTGTAATTAAAGAAATATACTGATAAACTTTTGTACAGCAATTCAATTTGATCTCATCGGCCCCAGCAAATATCTGCAGCCCCAGCATTTCGACTGCATTGTTTTCAGCTGCTTTTCATGAAAAACCTTTAAACTAAAATGTGACCGCACAATTAGAAATTAGTTCAAAGCAGACAAAAAATTATGTACTATGCTCACATTAGAGCAACCTGAAACACAACAAGAGTGTATTCGAGACACAGACATATCAAAAAGGTAAAAAAATGTATTCAAAATCACATTTTTTTTAACGTTTGATTTGTATAATTAATAATCCTACCGAGTCATGCACCGTGAGACAGTCAGCTACATGACTGAATGAGAGATTCAGGAAATAGCCAATGAGAAAGCTAGGAGAGCATAACACCTACTTTATGCCTCATAATGCAATGTGCGGACCCTCATGACAAAAAGACAAGAAATTCTGGTAACACTTTACTTAAAGGGTGTCTATATAAAACATTCATAACATCTTACATAAACA